AAAACTCCAAAACTGAAATGAGCAGAAGTGTGTCTGCTTCGCCATGAGCTGATCTTGTGGGTGGGCCCAAGAGGAAGCCCTGCCGTGGTCATGGCAGAAGGAAGGGCAGAGCAGGTGAAGGTGTGGTCAGGTGGAAGCCCACAGCCCATCTGACAGAGGAAAGTTTCCCTGTCCCTAGGGCCAAGGTTCATGGTCCCTGCCTCACTACCTGGGTACTGCGGGAAGGCTGCCAGGGCTGTGGTGGCCCTGCTGCCCCGGGACAAAGATGCCTTGGTGTCCCCAGAGCTTGTTGGGCTCCCAGAGTCCTGCATCCACTCCCTAGAGAAGGATTCTGGTCTCCCTAGTTAGGTCTTGGCACCCGCTAGTCACCTTGATTCCTAGACTTGGCAGTCCTGAGGGGAAACTTTTTTCCACGTGCCACCCAACCTAGGAGGGTTTCTGCCCGGATGTCCAGCAGAGCCAAACTCTGAACACCGAGTTTTATGGTGGAGAAATAAAGCAGTTTATTGGCAGGGAACCATGCCAGAAGGACAGGGAGCTGGCACTCAAAATCCAGACTCTCAGATGGTTTTTAATCAAGGGTTTTGTTTTTTTTTTTAATTTTATTTAGTTACTTTTCAAGTACATTTTTTTTTTAATCTATTTCTCCCATCCCACCCCACCCCCCCGCCCGGTCTCCCCCCTCCCTCCCATTCCCCCCTCCCCAGTCCTCATCTCTGTGTCTTTCATACTTGTTCCTCAAAATCCCTCCCCCTTTTTCCCCTTAAGTTCCCTTCCCTCTCCCCTCTGGTCGCTGCCCACTTGTTCTCTATTTCAGCGTAATCAAGGGTTTTTAAAGGCGGACATTGGGGATTAGGTGTTAGGGGTTGAAGGTGAAACTGATTAGTTAGTTCTTGTGTAAGCCTCCACGGTTTTCCTTTGATTAGTTCAGCTCCTGGCATCATCTTGTCTGTGCCTTCCTCACAGTGGCCGCTAATCCGACTGGTTGAAGAACCAAGATTCAGCTAAATATCTTATGACTGTGTATTAGTGACATTATCTTTAAAGCAAAAGGCAGAAACTGAATGTCTTTTGACTATTGTTATTGTTTAAGCTACCATTGTTTTCTGCTTAAATAGCAATAAGGGGAGAACCCAAAAAAACAGAATTATCTTCTAGAGGGAAGGCCCCTTGTAGTACAGGCTTTCCATCCAGGTGAGTGTTCTAGGAACCCATTTGTATCACTGTACCAGCTGGTATTGTGTGAGAGGCATTTGACTTCAGTGAATTTTTTTTGGAAAACTCTTTGAAAGCATGTGCCCATTTCATGATGGGTGATTTACGAACATACCTGCCTCCACCACACTGAGTGTGCAGCAGTTTTTGACCAAAAACTGCATGACCCCCCCATCCCCACCCTATTCACACGATCTCGTCCCAAGCGACTTTTTTTTTGTTTCTCCAGATGAAAAATGCTCTCCAAGGGAGAGTTTTGCCGATGTGGAGGAGGTGAAACAAAAAATGAAGCATTAAAAGGCATCATAATTAATGAGTTCAAAAACTGTTTTGAGCAGTGGAAAAAATGTCTTGATAGGTATATTGCATCAGATGAAGAGTGCTTTGAAGGCGACTGAAGTTTAAACATGTCAGAATAAACACACAATTGTTTATAAATGAATTCCAGGTTTTAGGGAGCTTCCCCTGGTACATTTGTCTATTCTGTCAAGCAAATTAAGATTTTATTTATTTATCTTTAGAGGGGAAGGGTAGGAGAAAGAGGGAGAGAAATATCAATGTATGGTTGCCTTGCATGTGTCCCCTGCTGGGAACTGGCCTGCAACCCAGGCATGTGCCCTGACTGGGAATCGAACTGCAATCCTTTGATTCGCAGGCCTGCACTTGGTCCACTGAGCTACACCAGCCAGGGTGCAAAGTGTATTTTTAAACATTTCCCCTGGAACTTGCTTTACAGGCAGCCAGGCCTTCAGATTATGACTAACATATTTTCTTCATCTTTGACTCTAACCCAGGTGACAACCAAAGCAATTGAAAACCAATACCTTCATCTCTGGCCTCCATGATTCCATACCTAAACACGTTCAGTGTTAACAGCTGGTGTCACGAAGATGGCCACATTCCCAGCCACTGCTTCAGAGACACGTGAGGTAGGGACCCACTTCATGCACCATCCCCAGACCACTTGCCCATAGGGAGAAACTGGAATCTCTCTGGTGGCAGCCAGGGTCATCAAATGAGCTGACAACTTGTTTTTGATCACTAGAACTGGGCAAGATGCTTAAGCTATTATGTTTTAAGCAGAATGATCCTCCTTTATTCAAGTTGAGGTAAATATTTCTGCAAACAGCAACAGCAGTAATTCACCTCATTGTGAGAATTTTGCTTTTGGGGTGAGTATGGGTGCTCTCATTCCATTCAGAAACTGTACTCTTAAATATTTTCTTACTCTGGTCAGTATTGCCACTTCCTTTTAAATTAACTTTTCAGAAAACAAATAAAGCCTACTTTAATTTCCTTGCATTTCTTTACAAAATGTTTGCTATCAGTCTATAACGAAAAGTTGGCACTTTGCTATAATCATGTATAGAAAGACTGGGCTGTTCAACATATTTTACATAATTCTGAACCTTAAAAAAGCTGTTCCCCAAGATTTGGGGGAGAGCAAAGCTAGGTTTCCTTTCTTAACAGGCATGTTTGACACTTGTTTTGTTATAAAATAAGAACTTTTAAAATTAATGGTTTGAATTACAAAATATACTTTTGAAAATCAAAAGTTTTTTATGAGAATAGGAAAGTTGCTGTACATGAGTGTACCAGCTGGCATTGCGTACCTCCTAAAAACCCATTTCTCATCTATTTTATTCTAGATTTCATGACTTTCCATTTTAAAGGGTACCAGACAAAAGGATTTTATTTTGATTATTATATTGGGATCCTAATTTTAAATAACTCAAATGCATTATTACCATATATACCAGCTTTTCAATCTGAGTTATAGGCTATATACATTATCAACACTTTTTAATTAAAATGTATTCATAAATACATACGAAAAATATTCAATGTATGGACATGTTGTTATTATATAATAAAGCACTATTCAAAAAGAAATGGTATACCAGACATATGAAAAGACTACTTTTGTATTTAGGAACAAAAAAAATGAATTCTAATAATTGCTTATTTTAATTGGTATAGTTTTTGTAAGAATATGTGAATTCACCCTGGGTGGTGTGGCTCTGTACATTGAGCACTGGACTGCAAAGCAAGTGGTCACCAGTTCGATTCCCAGTCAGGGCACATGCCTGGGTTGTGCACCAGGTCCCCAGTAGGGGGCACACGAGGTACAACCACACATTGATATTTCTCTCCCTGTTTCTCCTTCCCTTCCCCTCTTAAAAAATAAATAAAATCTTTTAAAAAAGAATGTTAGTTAAAAATTCATTATGTCATCTATGTGACTATTTTTAATCTATTTTACTCCAAGTATAAATAATAATTCACACTAATAAGTTACTATTTAAAATTTTTTCCATGAGTAATAACTTTGACAGTACTACAATCAAAAGGGATGTCTCTAAACCAGAGTTCAAACTAAATATTTCTATAGCTTAAGATGCTCATTTTGAGGTACAAAAATATGTAGCAGTTTTTGTAGCTTGACGTTAATTTAGATGGATGCTACATTTCAGATGCACCGATTTATTATTTCTTAGATGTGTCCAAAAAAATACTAAATGGAGCCAAAGCTGCCGTGCCAGAGAAGCTGCCTTGCATGTATTACACCTCAAACCTGTGAAATATTAAAACAGGGCAAAATAAACCTTTAGACTCAGCCCAAAGCAACATTGTGCCCCAAAGAGCAGTTTGCAAAGATAACAAGAAAGTAGTTATTATGACTACAAGACCAAAAATGTAAAATTGTGTAAAATGAGCATCCCTGTGTTACATTTATGCACCAATAGAAATGCCTTCCTTCTATTGATGTAACGGCTTCTCTTCCCCTTCTCATAAATACCCTTGCCTTTGTCTCCTGACCAGAACACCACTTGGGCTTCTGCCTGAATCAGCGCATCCCAAACAGCTGCTCTTTGATCTCAAAGAAATGCTTATTAGCATTCACTTCGAAAGGCCTTTTTATTTTTAGGTTAACAGATGAAAGAAGGCAACAGGTTAATTCCCTTCCCCAGTACAGGAATAACTGTACATTGATGTTGTAGTATTTATTCTAATGAACATTACTAAGAGTAATGTAAATAGTTCTGCCTTTACCCAAAGGAGCTATAGTTCGAGTGGCACATTTTTATGAAACTTTAACTCCTTTCCCTGGCCAGTGTGGCCCAGTTGGTTGGAGCATCCTCCCGAAGACTGAAAGGTTGAGGGTTTGATTGATGATCAGGGCACACACCCAGGTTCCAGGACCATTCCTCCGCATAAGAAAGACAACAGATTTGTTTCTCTCTCACATCCATGTTTCCCTCCTTCTCTCTCACCCCCCTCCTTCTGCTCTCTAAGCATGCCCTCAGGTAAAAATAAAAAATTAAATTAAATTAAAATAAAAAGTGTACCATTTACCTACTTTATTAGGTATAACTCTCAGCATATAGTGTTTAAAAAATACTGCTTCTCTAGAGCAGGGATTGGCAAACTTTCTGTAAAGGTCCAGAGAGTAAATATTCTAGGCTTTACCATATGGTCTCTGTTGCATCTACTCAACTCTGCCCTTGTAGCAGAAAAACCATCATAAATACATGTAAATGAAGATCCACCGCTATGTTCCAATAACACCTCACTTATGGACGCTGAAATTTGAATCTCATATAATTCTCATGTGTCAAAAAATAGTATTCTTGTGAATTTTTCCAAATGTTTAAAAATGTGAAAATCGTTTTTTTAGCTGTCAGGCCCTACAGGAACAGGCTTCAGGCTGAATTTGACCCACCCTTACTCCACAGCGAAACCATACCCCCGCCCCCCACTCACCCCCTCCCCACCCCGTAAAGATCACCATTACAAAACAAGTGTGTGGTACCAGTCATTGCAAGAAAATGTAAAAACTAAAGAAAGACCAATGAATTACCAAGGGATGACCGAGGGGTAAAGAAACGGAGCCCTCACCCAGGATGCCCACTCGTCCTGCTCATTCACGGCCGCCCCATCTGGACATCCACAGCCATCAGCAGTGAATGAAGGGTGACCACATCCGAGTCCAGTCCTGCCGTGTGTGCGCGGGGCACCCAGCTGGATAAGCGCATTTACTCGCTGGGTACGTTTCATCATCCATCACATCACTGCTACCCGCTGTGGCTCCGAGTGGGACAGAAGGCCAACTTTTCATCCTCCATCCGCTGAGCTTGGGTCCAGCTTCGCTGACTGCTAATGGCCTGGAAGAACCCAAGCTCTGTGCTCTGCCTGCACGAAGGGGGTTGGGGACGAGCTCCCGTAGCCAAGGCCCACCGGATTACTACTCTGACGTTTCAATTCACTTATTCTGGAGGGGGACAGACCCTGCCACGAAACATATTAAAGAATATTTTTTGCTCAGTCTGAGAAATTTGGGCCTTTACGACTGACAGGAGGGATCGAAGTAAGGAAATTCAGAATTACCACTGCTTAACTACTGTTAAACTGCACACGTCATCAGCTGAGGAAGCTCGCCTACCCGCCAAGACCTCCCAAAACCCCATGAGCTGAATTATAAAGTGCAGCATAAAGGGTGTGCAAGCGGCTTTTACTTTTTAAAAGCACATTTGTACAAAGGCACAAGTAAAGAATGTCAAGGCCGGACAAACGCCTCCCAGAGTCCTGTTAAGAGCAAAGGACAGCGGGCCAAGGCCCCATCCGATTTTCTCTGAGAAAGAGCCCCGAGGGAAGGCTCCCGCGAACACCCACAGTCCAGCACCTTCCTTTGGAGGGATGTGGCAGGATGCTTCGTCTTTTCCGCTGAGACCTGAGTGGTCTCGAGCAAGCTGAGCACGATGTCTACAGTCAAAAACACTTCCCAAGGTCTTAGAGCCTCGCTCAGGGGTCAGGAGCCTTTTTCTTGGAGAAATCTACCGGTGAGAGTCTTGTGGATTTCTTTCCATTCTGTCTCTGCCTTAGAAGTCAAGAGGCCGGCCAGGAAATTCTGAACAACGAGAACAAGGGCCAGAGGTTGGGTGCTTTGCCCGGGCTCACCAGGCTTGCTCGCAGAATCCGCCTGGGTGCGACTTTACTATTGAGTAGCTCCCTCCCTTCCTTCCATGATCCCTTCACTCAAGGTGGACGACGCTCAGCAGGGCGTCCAGGCAAGTCACTTGGCGCAGCTCCCTTCCCACAGTCCCTGGAAGCGCGCTCGGACCGCTCAGAGAGCGTCAGCCGGGCGCTCGTAGCGTAGCGTGTAGTTGGCGCCCGCGTTGTTGTCCCAGTACTCGCCTTGCGAGCAGCGGTAGCAGACTGCAAAGTGGACAGCTACATCCGGAGCGTTCATCTCCTCCCCCTCCTTGGGCTGCAGACCCGGGGGCAGGCCCAGAGAGAAGTGGAAGCGCTCTGCGCACGGCTCCTTCTCCACACTGCCGGGCCCAGGTTCTCCCGCTGGCGCCTCTTGCAGCTGTAGCTCCGCTGGCTCAGGCTGCAGTTCCGCGGGCACGTCCAGGAAAGAGCGCCATTCAGTGAAAGTGTAGCGAACGGCCACGGTCCTTGGCCCGGGGCAGCCCAGCACCCGGCCGGAGCCCGTCACCTCCGCGCCCCAAGGCGAGCAGTGCACGCGCTCCAGGCACACGCGCTGCCGCCGGAGGCGCTCGGCCAAGGCGTCGGGGCCGGGAAGCTCAAAGACCGGACGGAGCCGTGTTGGCGGCGCGGAAAGGGGCGCGGCAGCGGCGGCCAGCAGGCTAGGGAACTGCTGCAGGTCATCCGCGCTCATGGGGAAGCTGCGGAGACGGGAGAGCACGGCTGGCGGCACCTGTGGCTCCTCCGCCTCGTTGAAGTGCTTAATGCTGGCCAAGCTCAGCCCCAGCGCGTCCGCGAACTGCACCCGCTTCTTGCACTTGGCGCAGCAGCCACCCGTGCTGTGCGGCGCGTCCTCGGCCCTCTCGCCGCCCTCCGCGCCCAGCTCCAGGGCCAGCTGCTGTCGCTGCTGCAGGAACTTGGCTGCCTGCAAGATCGGGTCGGCGGGCAGCGAGAAGGAGCGCGCGCGGCGGCGGCATTCCAGCAGATCCTCCTGCTCCCGGAGGGCAGCCTCCTCCTCGGGGAACCAGGGCTTGGCGTCGCGGCTCCGGGAGTCCTCTGTGTCACCGCTGTCCCTGCCACCTTCCATGGAGAGGATCCCCGCGGAGTGCATGTCCTGGGCTGGCGGGGGGTCTTCCAAGGGCGCGGGTCCCTGCGCCTCCAAAGTTAGCAGATGCGCCCCCTGGGGCTCCATGAAGCCGCCTGTCCTCCGGACTTATCTGGGCCGCGAATCTCCGTCTCAAGACGTATCGAGTCTTAACACCTTGAGTAGCAGACCGCGAACAACGCGCACCCGGGGCTCCTTATAAGAACGCAGTTCCACGTGGGAGCCTCGGGGTTTTAGCTGCGGCCGCCTGGGCGGAGTGGGAGGAGGATGCGGGTCAGGGGCTGGCTCCCGGCCAGGCCACCTCGGGATTGAACCTGCGGGTGACCGGGGAGGACCTGGGGCGGGGCGGTCGAGGAACACCTGGAAGCGAGGCGGCGCGGGGCTGGAGCGCGCGGGCGGGGCTTCCAAACACTCCGGCGGAAAGTGAGAGATGGCTTCTGCAAGTTGGGGAGCCCTGTCACCTCCCTCCCACCCCAGGAGGGCCCGCGGCGGCCCTGCCTCCGGAGCTCCTGGAGGAACCCTCGCTCAGCTTTCGTTGACACCGGCATGAGCAGTCTTTCTTCGGCCGGTAAAGTTAGTCCCCAGGCCCTGACCGGTTTGCCCAAGGAGGGTCGCAGAGCGAGCTCCTCCCGGCTGTCGCAGCGGCCCAGGAAATACGCGGGGCAGAGGCGCAATTGAGACCAACCCGCATGTGGGGAAGCTGGGAGGCGGCCGGCCGCGCGCCCAGCCGCGAGCGTGGGTGTCTCCCTCTCCTCTCCCTTCCTTCCTAAAACTTCAGGGCTCCCCGGGCGCCAGTCCTGGTCGGAAGCCAGGCCCTGCCGGGCATGCTCGCTTCTCGGCGCTTCCGAAAGCTGCTCGGCGAGCGCTTGCGCCGAGTCTCGGGCGGGGACGCTGCGGGGACGCGCGGGCGAGCGGAGAGAGAAGCGAGCCCAGAGCTGCCGGAGGCCATTCGCGCGGGGCCCGGGAGCACGTCCCGCTCCTCCTCCGGTCCCGCCCGCCGCCCCACGCCGTCCGCGCGCACCGCCCCACCGCCGCCGGATACCCGCGCCACAGGCCCCTGCGCGCGGCCTTCGCCGGCGGGGAGCGGGCTCTGACCTGTGCGGGACTGCGGGGTCGCCGCCCTGCTGCTCCGAGGCTGTGAGAGTCCCTCCCGGGCCATCCAAGGGAATGCGGAACCCGGGGATTGGGGCACTTCAAAAGTGGTTTTGTTTTGTTTTGTTTTGTTTTGTTTTGAGGCTAGTTTTCCTTTTATCTAAGTCAATGGCTCTCAAAATTTAGCGCGCAGGAGCATCAACGACGTGCTCGTGGGGTGCTGCCGGGCTCACCCTAGCGCCCTGAGTCAGTGGGTCTGAAGGGCGCCCTACCGGCTCTCTAACCAGGGCTCGCCGGTGCAGGGCTCTGGAGACCAATTTGGGGAACCACTAAAACCCCATGCGCACGGTGTGCCGTTACTTGTATAAAACGTTGGAGGGACAGAAACACATCCACAATTTCACAAAAAATAAAAAGAAATCCCGCCTACCCAGGTCATTTAACGGAGGCATAATAACTTTATAGTTTGGCAGAATTTAAAGGGGCCAGGCTTTAGGGATTTTAGACATTTGGGTGTGGGAGCCGGTAAAAGAGGTAGTGAGGGGATAGGTAAGGATCATGTTAATGACTACTGTTGATTGAGGGCCCAACAGTTAAGTGTGCTGAACCACCGCCCCCCCCCCGTGCCGTTTTTATACCAATAAAAGCAGTGAGACTACTTTTATTCAATATAGTATTGCAAGTCCTAGCTGCAGCACTCAGACAAGTAAAAGAAATAAAAGACATCCACATTGGAAAGGAAGAGGTAAAACTCTCATTATTTACAAATGACATCATACTATATATAGACAACCCTAATGGTCACACACACACACACACACACACAACTACTAGAACTGATAAGTGAATTCATTAACGTGGCAGGATACAAAAACATTCAGCCCAATGTGTGGCTCAGTGGATTGAGTGTCCGCCTGCCAAACAAAGGGTTGCTGTTTTGATTCCCAGTCAGAGCATATGCCTGGGTTGCCTGCAGGGTCCCTGGTAGGGGACGCAGGAGAGGCAACTACACATTGATGTTTCTCTCCCTCTCTCTCTCTCCCTCCCCACCCCTCTCTAAAAATAAATAAATATTCAGAAGCCAGTTGCATTTTTATACATCAATAATGAACTATCAGGAAAAGAAATTAAGAAAACTATCCTGTTTATAATTACATCAAAAATAAGAAAATAGCTTGGGATAAATTTAACCAAGGAGGTAAATGACCTGTACTCAGAAAATTATAAGACATTGAAGATAGAAATCGAAGAAGATGCAAATAAGTGGAAGCATATACCATCCTCATGGAAAGGCAGAATTAATGCCCATACTACCCAAAGCAATCTATACATGTAATGCCATGCCTATCAAAATGATAAAGGCATTTTTCACAAAACTAGGAAAAAGTAACCATAAAATTTATATGGAAACCACAAAAGATCCAAAATAGTGACAGCGACCTTGAGGAAGAACCAAGTTGGAGGTATCATGCTACCTGATTTCAGACTATGGTACAAGACCATAGTAGTCAAAACAACATGGTCCTGGAGTAAAAGGAGACACATACTGTAGATCAAAGACAACCCACTGAATGAAAGAAGATATTTGCCAATCATCTATCTGATAATGGATTGGTACCCAAAATTTATAAAGGACTCATACAACTCATCAGCAAAAAAACAGACAGTCCAATTTAAAAAATGGACAGAGGACCTGTGTAGATATTTCCCAAGAGGACATACAGATGCCAATAGATAAATGAAACATGCTCACTGTCACTAATCATCAAAGAAATGCAAATGAAAACTACACTGAGATATCACCTCACACGTGTCAGACTTCCTAGATCCCTGACTGGTGTGGCTCAGTTGGTTGGGTATCACCCCCAAAGGGACAGGTTTCTGGTGTGATTTCCTGTCAGGACCCCATGCCTGGGGTATGGGGCAGTCCTGGGTGGGGGGTGTGTGAGAGGCAACCAATAATGTTTATTTCATACTTTGATGTTTCTTTCCCTCTCTTTCTCCCTCCCTTCACCTCTCTCTAAAATAATAAAATTAAATTAAAAAAATAAAAAAGTTTTCATAGAGCTCAATCTCTAGGTCCCTTTCCCTTCATGGAGGCGGGTGGATGGCTGAAAATTCCAACTCCAATCACTCAGTCTTTCCGGTGAGGAGCCTTATCTAGGGCCCCACTATAAATCACCTCATTAACGTGTAAGTAGGTAGGGGTGATCAAAAGGGGCTCTTTATAAATAGCAAAATACACCCTGTCACTCAGGAAGTTGCAAGGGTCTTAGGAGTTTTTTGCCAAGACTGGGGACAAAGGCCAAATACATATTGTTATCACACCACAGCAGGATATGCTGGTCTAGAGCTCAGAAGAAAAGGTGCCATGACTGAGCTTTCAGCAATGCTGGCATTGGGGGTCCTCTCCTTTGCCTCCTGAAAGGTGTAGAAGTGATGGAGGGTCTCTGGCTCTCGCCCCTCACCTCTGCTCTGGCACACCAGGTGGTGAAGTCACCGTCTCTCCCAGGCTTACTGTCCCCTGCTCTTCCACCCAGAACAGGGTCCAGGTCTTCTCTCCTCTGGAGTCCAGATTACCAAAGTCACTTGTTAAACAATGCAGCATGCAAAATAGCTTCCTGAAATTTAGCCCATATAAGACCGAATACATTAGTCCATAATGAACATATTTCAGTGGTGTGGACTATATGGGCTCAAGTATCATGTACTCAGCTGGTAAAATATTTACTCCAGGCATTCAGAGGCTTTTTGCTTTACCATCAGCTTTGGTTACTATTGCTGCATAAAAAAACCACCCTAGATGTAGTTGGCTAACAACAGCATTTATTCTGTGCATGAACCTGCAAGAAAAGCAGGGCTCCCTTGGGTTCAGCTTGATTCTTCTCCATTTGTGGACAGTTGAAGGCTGGAGCTGGAATAGTTTGATGCCCAGGTCTGGGGCCTGGGCTGGGAAGCCCCAACTGCTAGGGCTGGACCCACTGGTACCCCTCAAGCATCTTTCTGTGTGATCTCCAGCAGAGTGGCTTCAGAGCAGCCACACTTGTAACCTGCTTGCTTAGGGACAGAAAGACAGAGTAGCTGTATCACCTTTTTGGCCTGATGTCAGAAGTTTCATTGCTTCTCCTGTTATACTCTGTTCCTAAGACCATAGGGAAAAAAATGAGTCATTAAGCCCAATATATTCAATGGGAGAGAAATTAGATTCAACCTTTTGAGGCCCGAGTGTCCAAGAAACTGCAGGTGTGTTTTAAAACCATCATGTTATGTAAAACAGAACAAATTAGAAAGGACCCAAGAGAGCTCAGCTAGTTTGTTTAAAGCTCAAATGTTTCAGATGTTCAAGCTGAGGCTCCGAGAGGAATATCAGTTGCCTTTTCATTCAAGGCAAGAATTGAGCTGGAATAAAAATTCTCTTGATTCTTAATGTTTGAGATCGTGCCTCAGGAATAAAATCATTTTTCTGTACATGATATTATCCCTTCATTCCTATTGATTTTGGTTTTTGATTGTTAAACTGGTCAGTGTATAACAATATGTATATAACATGAAACCATGAGGGGATCAGAACATGTCACCCAAAAATATGATACTTTGGCATTGTTTTGGTCCATCTGGGCTGCCGTAACAAAGAAAGCATGGACTGGGGGCTGGGGGACTTATAAACAACAACCACTCTTCACAGGTCCAGGGGCGGGGAAGTCCAGATCAGGGCTCCCGCAGATTCGGTACCTGGTGAGGACCGCTTCCCAGACAGTTACCTTCTCACTGTGTCCTCACATGGTGGAAGGGGCAGAATTGCTCTCTGGGGTATCTCTCTCTCTTTTTAAAATTTTTATTTATTTATTTTTATTTTTAATATATTTTATTGATTAGGCTATTACAGTTGTCCCATCCCCCCCTTTATTCCCCTCTGCCCTGCACACCCACATTCCCCCCCTTAATTCATGTCCATGGGCTGTACATATAAGTTCTTTGGCTTCTCCCTTCCCTGTTACTATTTTTAACCATGCCCTGTCTATTTTGTACCTACCATTTATGCTTCTTATCCTCTGTACCTTTTCCCCTCCTCTCCCCCACCCACTCCCCCACTGATAACCCTCCATGTGATCTCCATTTTTG